AGCCCAGCAGGCGAGGCTGCGGTGGCCGGGAGCGGCCACTGCACTCCAGTCTGGGCGACCGAGTGAGACTCCAACTCAAAAAATAATAATAATAATTCTTATTTTCTTTCCATCCTTAAAAGGTTGTTTCATTTTCCAATTAGATATTTCTTCAAGCTATATCATCTTGGAAACAAATATTGAGGCATCAGTAGCAGGTAAACAAAAGTGATATGTCTCATGAATGTCTGATCTTGTTGTATTATCCTTTCAGAATCTCTTTGGCAGTAACAGTCTTGATGGAGGAAGCAGTCCTATGATCAAGCCCAAAGGAGACAAACAAGTGGAATACCTTGATCTTGATTTAGATTCTGGGAAATCCACACCACCACGTAAGGTAAGTGAAACCCTGTGTTATTCGTGCACCTAGCTCACACCTCAAACCTGAAGAATCCTTTTCTTTGGGAGAGTTGTATTTGTAATTTAAATTTAGTTGTCTGTTGCCTAATGCTGTTTAATGACTCACAGGTAACAAAGTTATGGTGACTGATACATTTATTATTCCCTATCCAGTAGTATGGAAGTTATATGCTTTCTGCTCTTAAGGGATGTCACTGAATGGTTCTTTAACACATTCTCTAGTTAACCAATGTCTTCATTCTCTTTAAAAATGTTTGCTCAAGTTATGTGCTGTTTTTGTCCAAAATTTTAATCCACCTTTTTGTTAAATCCACAAACCGGACAGTCCTATTATTACTCCTCTCATTATATAAACAGTGCTTATTTACATTTTTCTATGCCATTACCAACCTATTTAACATTCCTTCTTGTTGTCTAAAACCTTTCATAACAATTTTTCTTCTCCCTGAAGTACATCCTAAAGTATTCCTTTAGTGGAGGTCTGTTGGTAATAAATTATTTCCTTGGGAGGCTGAGGTGAGTGGATTGCCTGAGTCCGTGGGTTCGACACCTGCCTGGGCAACTTGGCGAGACCTCATCTCTACAATAAATCAAAAAATTAGCTGGGCGTGGTAGCACACACCTGTAGTTCCAGCTACTTGGAAGGCTGAGGCGGAAGGATCGCCGGAGCCCAGCAGGTCGAGGCTGGGCGACAGAGTGAGACTCTGACTGAAAAAAAAAAATTATTCCTTTGTCTTAAATGTCTTTCTTTTGCTTTCATTCTTGGAAAAAGAGTTTTATTTAGTTCAGTTCTTGACTGACAATAATTTTCTTTCAACACGTAGAAGATGCTGTCCCACTATCATCTTGCTTCTATTGTTCCTGCCAAGAAGTTTGCTGTCAGTCTGATTGTAATTTCTTTTTGGGTCATCTGTCTTCTGACTGATTTTAAAATCTTTTCTATGTGTTCTGTGTTTGGTGTTCTGTGGGTTCACTACAATGTATCTAGACATAGATTTATTTTTATTTACTCTGCTTGATAAAAGTTATGCTGCTTTTTTTTCTGGATTCATATTTTTTATCAATTCTGGGAACATCTCAGTCATTATCTCTTTAAATATTAATTATTTTTCCACTTTTCTCTCTATTTTCTCCTTTGAGGTTTCTGATTAAACATATGTTAGAACTTCTCATTTGATTTTCTGTATCCCTTAGAACTTTTTCATAGTTTCTCTGTGCTTGCTTTCTTGCTTGCTTGCTTTCTCTCTTTCTCTCTCCCTTTCTTTCTCTCTTTCTCTTTCTTTCTCTCTTTCTCTTTCTCTCTTTCTTTCTCTCTCTCTTTCTCTCTCTCTTTCTCTCTTTCTCACTCTGTTGCCCAGGCTGGTGTGCAGTGACACAGACCACAGCTACCGCAGCCTCAACCCCCTGGACTCAGGTGATCATTTCCTGAGTAACTAGGATTACAGGCGCATGCCACCACACTTGGCTAACTTTTAGATTTGTTTGTAGAAACAAGGTCTTGCTTTGTTGCTCAGGCTGATCTTGAACTCCTAGGCTCAAGCAGTCCTCTTGCCTCTGTCTCCCAAAGTGCTTGGATTGCAGGCATGAGCCACCGCACACTGCTGGATGATTTCCTTACATCTGTCACCAAGTTCACTAATTCTCAATTCTTCCTATGTATTTAATTTTTAATTTCAATTATGTTTTATCTCTAAAATAAAAATTAGTTCTTTTCAAATATGCCTAGCTGATTTTAATAACTTCTTTTCAATACTGAAGTCCTTGGAGGTCTGAATCTGTGTTAATTGTTTCTGCTAACTCACTCTCTGTGGCTTGTTTCTTTGTGTGTTTTATGCGTTTTTATTAGGAATTCATTCTGCTGAATACACCTGTTGGAATCCTGAGTACCAAAATTTTTTCCGCCAGGAGCAGTGGCTCACGCCTGTAATCCCAGCACTTCCCGAGGCAGAGGCAAAAGGATTGCCTGAGCCCAGGGGTTCAAGACCAGCCTAGATAACATGGCGAGACCTTATCTCTAAAATAAATTTAAAAATTAACTGAGCATGGTGGCATGTACCTGTAGTTCTAGCTACTTGGAAGGCTGAGGCAAAAGAATCGCCTGAGCCCAGCGGGTCAAGGCTGCCGTGGCCATGAGCATGACACTGCACTCCAGACTGGGCAACAGAGTGAGACTCCAACTCAAAAAAAAAAAAATTTTTTTTTTCTTCTTCTCCAAAAAAGATTTTCTTTTTTTTTTGAGTTGGAGTCTCACTCTGTCACCCAGACTGGAGTGCAGTGG